CTTTGGGAGACCGAGGCAGGCGGATCACGAGGTCAGCAGATCAAGACCATCCTGGCTAACACGGTGAAACCCTGTCTTTACTAAAAACACAAAAAATTAGCCGGGCGAGGTGGCGGATGCCTGTAGTCCCAGCTACTTGGGAGGCTGAGGCAGGAGAATGGCGTGAACCCAGGAGGCGGAGCTTGTGGCGAGCCTAGATCCAGCCACTGCACTCCAGCCTGGGCGACAGAGCGAGACTCCGTCTCAACAAAATAAATAAATAAATAAAGATCACAAGTCATAGATTTGATAAGGGACTTGTATTGAGAATATATGTGTGTGTGTGTGTGTGTGTGTGTGTGTATATATATGTGAAAAAACTTTTACAACTCAACCAATGACCCAATTTAAAAATGGCTAAAGGACTCAGATACACATTTCTACAAAGACAAGATACAAATGGCTGATAAGCATATGAAAAGATGCTGAACATTATTTATTAGGAAAAAGAAAAACCACACTGAGATACCACTTCACACCACTAGGATGGATATAACAAAAAAGACAAAAACAAGTCTACGTAAGATGTGGAGAAATTGGAACTCTTATTAATTGATGGTGAGAATGTGAAATGATGCAGCCATTTTGGAAAATGGTCTGGTAGTTCTTCAAAATGTTAAATACAGTGTTACTGTATGACCCAACAACTACATTCGTAGGTGTATACTCAACCAAAATGGAAACATAGTAGGCGAAAGAAGCCGGTCACTAAAAGCCACCTATTGTATGATTCCATTTGTATGAAATATCCACAGTAGGCAAATACGTAGTGACAGGGCTGCTGGGGTCAGAGTTGAAGTTGGGGATCAGAGAGTGGCTGCTGATACTAGGTACTAAGGTACTGAGTACTAGGTACGGAATTTCTTTTTGGGGTGATGAAAATGTTCTGGGCTTAGATGGTGTTGATTGCATATACTGCTATGAATGTACTAAAAACCACTGAATTATAATCTTCTAAAAGGGTGACTTTTATGGGTGTGAATTATATCTTAACACACTGTTATTAGAAAAGAATAAAAATAACAGGCTTCCAAATTTGCTTTCTTGCCTTTTGAAAGATTGTGGATGAAACATACTTTTTTTCTTTTGATTTCCTGGCAGCCACGTGACCTTTACTCACAGGCCTAAATCACATGAGTTTAGTGGTCTAAACAGGGTCCCTGGTGAGCGGTGGCCTGAATACCATTTGCATGTACCAGGGGACAGCTTCTGTACCAGGGGACAGCTTCTGCTCCAGGGCACACGTGCAAGACCCAGCAGTAACGAAGGCCAGTGGCCTTGCCCCTCAGAGGGGTTTTTCCAGGTGAAGATTCACAAGGCAGCAGGGGAAGCCTGTTTGCACTGTGCCCAGCTATATTAGCCTATGAATAAACCAGTAACAAAGATTTTGAGCCTTATTATTTTAGAGGGTTTAATGTTAGGTTATTTTGTTCATCATATGTAAATAGAACGATTTCAGAAAGCTTATCAGTCACACTTGTTTTTAAAAAGTACTCTAAAGAACTGCAAAATATTGAATTATTCCTCAGCATTCTCTTAGAAGTTAGTTCATATATACATTAGCATCTTGCTGTTTGCTCTGTGTCTCATACTAAAAGATTATACATTCGTGTAATAGATTACAGATTCATTATTTTACCTTTAAAATAGAAAATAAAACAACCCTTTTTAAATTCAACTGTGTTCTAAAGCACATGTTCCAAAACTACTCTGTACATAAAAATCAATTGGGGCTCATTAAAAATGTAAATTTCCTAGGTCCCTACCCCCAAGAGATTGGTTCAAACTGAATTTTTAAGGAACATTCCATATAATTCTGAGGAATAGGGTTTGCCCTATAATAGACTATGCCCTAGGGACTCTAGCCTAGAATTCGGAGTAGTAGAAAGGCGGTTAAAGTGTTCTTCACGTTACCATAGGTAATTAATAGGAATTAAGATAGTTTTAGCCTTTTGATATTGTATGTAGATGACATCCACATTCTTATTGTGCTGTTAGAAAGTAATATTTTCTCACCAACATTTCACAGTGTGTGAAATTGTAGTCTCTGCCCCTACTGACAGCACCTTTGTGCTATGAAGCTATTAATGCAGCCCTGTCACCGCCTGCTTTTTCCAGATTTCCTTTGACCTCGCTGAGTACACTGCAGATGTTGATGGAGTTGGCACTCTACGACTTCTAGATGCAGTTAAGACTTGTGGCCTTATCAACTCTGTGAAGTTCTACCAAGCCTCAACAAGTGAACTTTATGGGAAAGTGCAGGAAATACCCCAGAAGGAGACCACCCCTTTCTATCCCCGGTCACCCTATGGTGAGAATGCGTGTGCACACCTGAGCGCATGTGCGGCATTATCTGTGGGTGTGGGAGGTGTGTGTTTTTTCTTTCATTCTGTTCATGTCTCACGGCTGAAGTCATTTGGGTGTGAGGTTAACATTAAGGTAAAGTGACTGAACTTGTTGAGAAGCATACCTTTATACATTGCTAACTGCAAGTATTTGCTGCCATTACCTTGGGGGTGAAATTACTGCCTCACTTCACCAACCTATGTTCATTCAACCCTTCCATACAGATCGCTTTAAATGGAAAATCAGACCCAATGTGATGCTTTTTCTAAACTGTTGAGGTTATACTGAAGTGATAAGATTTCATGTTTATTTTCCATGAAAGTTTCCTTGAGCTCAAAACCTTAAAAAAAAAAAAAGACTATTATGTCTAATACATTTGTAAAGAGAATATTAATGAAAGACTTGAGTGATAAAATTTCAAAGCATTTGGAATGTTAAGATCCCTATTTTTTCCCATTCTAATTCCTCAAAAGTTAAAAGAGAGAGAGAGAGAGAGAGAGAATGAGAGAGAATAAGATCTAAGAAAGATTCAGTCAATTAGATTGTCACATAGTGCATTGTGGGCATTACAAAAGTAAGAAATTCTTAAAATATTTCCTGGTGAACATGATTAACTGGCGTCAGAACCTTTATTTTGTCTTTGGTTTTTGATACTTTTTTGTATTTTGATGCATTACAGATTATTATTTTGGCAAGTTGTTACTGTTTAAAATGGGTGAAAATCACTGTCTTTTATAACAAACTTCATTGTTTAAAAAATTTATTCCAACAGGGGCAGCAAAACTCTATGCCTATTGGATTGTGGTGAACTTCCGTGAGGCGTATAATCTCTTTGCGGTGAATGGCATTCTCTTCAATCATGAGAGTCCCAGAAGAGGTCAGTAAATATATTAACTGAAAAGAGAATTTCAGACTTGAACAACAGCAAGTTGCATGTATATTTGGTGTATGTACTACAGAGACTGAAAAATTTCCTATCTGTATCTAATTATTATGAATGTCAGAGTGGCAAATGAAGAAATGTATACCCAGCCTTAGCTTTTTATAATTTTATTTTGAGTTTGTAGGGTTTTAAATTTTAACATTCAAAACTGAACAGCGTTCCAGTTTTACCATTTTAATTAGTAGGTCTTATCAAGCATGTTTTCAACCTGAGTATTAGGAATCTGCTATATGAATGCAAAGGAATAAGTAGTAAACTAATGATTGCTTTTGGAAATTACTCCTATTCAAATAGTCTCAATTTGTAGAATCTATATTATTTTTTGACTTTGAACCAGTTAGATATTCAGTATTTTTTCTTTACATTTCATTAAATAGGCATCCAGAAATTACTATACTTGTAGAGTGTATTTTAAAATGAATTTGATCAGTTTTTTAACAAGATTTTAAAAAAATGACACATAACATTTTTATGGAGTATATAGTATTGTTTTGAAAGAATGTATAGTGATCATATCAGAGTAATTAGCATATCTGTCACCTCAGACATTTACTGTATGTTTGTGTTAGGAACATTTAAAAAACCTCTTTTCTAGCTAATTAGAAAATACATAATAATGTGGTGAACTATAGAGCACTCTACAGAACACTAGAATTTAATGTCTATCTAGCTGTAATTTTATATCCTTTAAGAACTCTCTCCTTATTCCCCACTCCCTTGAAGTCAGCTCTTAATTTAGAAGTATTATCAGGTATTTTTGGAAAACCATATTTGTTTGCATTGGCTTGTTGCCTTTTCAGAGTTGTTGATGAGACTGTAGCAACGTGCTAGTTCTCTTGTTCCCAGTATTAAGCTTTAAGTAAGAAAATGTGTACCCCCATCATTACTTCTGATTTACTGAAGCATGAGAAAGCTTTACAAAGCATGCACATGCTTTACAAAGTAAAAATTATCTGTAAACCTTCGAAGAGGTTTTGTTAAATGTTGCTATCACTTAGATTTTCAGTCTGAGAATAAATGAGAAGTCCAGTGTTAAAAGCTGTTTCATGACCAACAACTGCTACGCATATAACTTTTCAGTGAAATTTTATGTGACTATATAGCTACCTAGTTAAACCAAGAAGTCATGAAGAAAGATTAAAGTGACAGGTTTATAAAGGTGTCTTTAGCGTCAGTACATTTTTATTTTATAATTGCTTAAGTTAAAAATTCCCATCATGGGCTGTTAAAGCCTAAGAACCCAGCCTGTCATCAGGTTGCCTGAAAGGAAAACAAGTTCACAAGCAGCGAGAAACATTTATTTAATGAATTTTGTGGTCCTGGGTGCCAGTGGTGAGGGAGAAAGGAAAAGGAAGATCCTGGCTGTGGTTGCCTGCAGCATGTGGTATGAGGGCGCCCACAGAGTCTGCTGAGTCGTGGTGATCCCTGCCTCTTTCTCACAAACATGTTCATACACATTGTTTGGGTTTCTGTGTTCTTCCTCCCTCAACTTTTCCACCTGCAAAAAAAATAAAATAAAAGTTAATTGTTGTGAATCAGGTCAGGATAGGGAGAAACATTCCTGGGTTGCAAAGTGAAAAAAGATAAATTTAAGTATAACTCCCCCTAATTCTCTCTTTGTGTACCTCCTAATGAGAACTTATTTTTTGTCTTTGTAGATGTTAACCACTAAAAAAAAAAAAAACTATATTTTAAGGCCAGGCACAGTGCCCCACATCTGTAATCCCAGAACTTTGGGAAGCCAAGTTGGGGGGGATCACTTGAGGCCACGAGTTTGGGACCAGCCTGGGCAACATAGCAAGATCCCATCTCTCCAAAAAATAAAAAACAAATCAGCCAGGTGTGGTCATGTGTACCTGAAGTCCTAGCTACTCGGGAAGCTGAGTTGGGAAGATTCTGGGAGCCTAAGAGTTCGAGGCTGCAGTGGGCTGTAATTGTGCCACTGCACTCTAGCCTGGGCAACATAGTGAGACCCCTGTCTCTAAAAAGATTGTTTTAAAGTAATAAAAAATATTTTAAAAGTAATACTTCTTCATTTAAAATAAAATTATCAAGTAAAAGTTCCCACCCTCATGATAACTGCCAGCCCTGTCCTCAGACCCACTGTTAACATTCCTTCAGAAAAGGTCTGTCTATCTTTAAACATATAGAGTTCTGCTATACATATTGTTCTGCAGCTTCAGGCTTCTATTAAATATCTTTAGGAACTTGACCTTAACTGTAGCATACACCATTTTGTTTTGTTCTATTATATGCCTGGAAATCAATGGTATCACATTTTTAACTATATAATCAAATAATGAGAAAAAGAGGTGTATATGAAAATGATATTAATATTTTGATATGTAATGCCTACTATTGACAGCATTTCTTAAAACTTGATAATTAATTTTCATATTAAATTAATCTGACAGTAATGTTGTTTTGCCAACATTAATTATTGTTTTCTGAGGAGATTTCTTTTTCAGACTGAGAATTCTGTGATGGCAGGACTCTGTTGTATTTGTACATCTCCAGCTTCCAGGCGGTGCCTAATTGCTAATAAGCATTCAGTAAATATTTTTAAATGAATGAATAAATGAATATCTCATGTTTCAGTAACAGCTTACTGACTTGAAAGCTAGGTGGTCTGAATTACAGAAAAGTAGAAATTATATAAATATTTATAAATATTGTTTTGTTGATGTTACTCATATAGTAGTTAAAGTTAATAAACGGGCTGGGCGCAGTGGCTCATGCCTGTAATCCCATCACTTTGGGATACTGACTCAGGTGCAACACGAGATCAGGAGTTCGAGACCAGCCTGGCCAACATGGTGAAACCCCATCTCTACTAAAAATACAAAAAATTAGCTGGGCATGGTGCTGGGCGCCTATAATCCCGGCTGCTCAGGAGACTGAGGCAGGAGAATCACTTGAACCCAGGAGGCAGAGGTTGCAATGAGCCAAGACTGCGCCAGCCCGGGCGACAGTGCGAGACTCCATCTCAAAAAAAAAAAAAAAAAGCTAATAAATGATTTTGAAGTAAAGATTCAATCTGATATACATTAATAAACAGCTAAAATTCAGTTTTTTTCATTTTTTTGTTCATAATCTTTGTAAACGTAGAATTTCCTGTGGTACTTTAAGTGAGTTTGTTTTCTTAAGTTGGTTGAACATTTATACATCAGTCTTTTTGTTCCCTGTTATTGCAGGGAACAAACCCTTTTTTTCTACACAGTGTAGGAAAACCTTGTAAACCTCAGTCTAGTCCTAGGTATCCAATCACACATGCTGAATTTGTAGAGCCCAAGTTGATGCAGTTTTGGGGGGCCATATACTTTTTCTCTAACAAAGTATAATTGTCAAAGGTCCCCTCTCATTGCATGAATAACATTTCATGAGAATTTCTGACTTTCAAACGTGGGGAAAAGTATTTTTTAATCTAACGATAGGCTAAACCAGAAGTTGACAGTCTAGGACTCATGGGCCAAATCTGTCCTACCAGCCTAGTTTTGAAAATGAAGTTTTATTGTAACACAGGCAGATGCACTTGTTTATATATCATCTATGGCTGCTTTCACCTATGGAGTCTTACAGTGTGCAGAGCCTAAAGTATTTGTTGTCTGGGCCTTTAAGAAAACATTTGCTGGCCCCAGCTGTAGACAGATCCTCAGCATTCAAGAAACTTTCACTTGTGTTGATTGTGGGTTTCTCCCACGGTGACAAGGTAGTCTTTCAGAAGGATTTCCTATAAATGTTAAACAGCATAGTGCACCAGTCCTTAAGCAGAATTCCTGAAGTGCTTTGGCAGGTTGGAGTTCTGTTGTACTTCACTGCTGTACGCAGGTAACCAAGTGCTCTGAAGGATCAAGCACTATGACCAAGTGCTCTGAAGGAAAGCTAGTTGTCAGTGACGTATGAAACCAAATAAGCTAGTAGCTGATGATACATATGTAGCGTGGTTTGTCCAACAGTCACAGCTCCTGAGCTTGGACACTGCTCATTGTGATTGTGACTGCCTTCTGTGTCTTTTCTCCATCCCAGCCGTTTTTGGTTTTCTTTCTTTTTCTTTTCTTTTCTTTCTTTCTTTTTTTTTTTTTTTGAAGACTTGATTTATTTATTTAGATTTTCTTTCTAAATATATTTGTTTTGAGAACCGTGTAATACATCTAGAGATAGTAAGAATCACCTGTGTTAGCATCAGATCAACAGTTGGAAATCATTGATTTAGGGAATAAAGCCAATAATCTACTGACTCTGCATCCCTCAGTCAGCCTTCCAGTCACTCTGTTGGTGAAAGCAAGAGGGTGGATGGCACTAGTGCTATAGGCTTGCTTCTTGTAAAATGGGAGCACTTTAGTAATATTTACTACAAATTAAGAGTAATAGAATTTTATAATTAAATGTCTGTAAGTCATAAAAATGTATATAGTAATATATGTTTTATGAATAACTATTACTATGTATTATATACTGATATTCGCAGACGTTAACCAGGTGCCTTCTTTCATATGTACTCAGTTTTTTAAAATAAAAAAGTAGGCAATCATAACCTGCATAACGAATTTTGGTCAATGAGGGACTACAATGGTCCCATAAGATTATAATACTGTATTATAATTAAAAAATCACATTTTTACCGTACTTTTTCTGTGTTTAGGTATGCTTAAATATACGAGTTTAGGCATATGTTATTTTATTGTGCTTCATAGATATTGCTTTTTTTTGTTTTTCAAACTGAAGGTGTGTGGCAACCCTGCATTAAGCAAATAGTATATAGATACTATTTTTTCGGGTGTTCATCTCCTGTCTGTCTGTCACATTTTGATAATTCTCCTAATATTTCAAACTTTTAATTATTATTATATTTGTTATGATGATCTGTGATCAGTGATCTTTGGTTTTACTGTTGTGATTGTTTTCAGGCACCATGAACTGCACCCATAAAAGAC